AAAATTTATTTCAAATTTAATTCAAGCACTTTCAAGGACCTATGTTTGTTTTCAAGTACTTTCCAGGCCTTGAATCCACATGTCTGAAATTCAAGTACTTTCAAGAAGCGTGGGAACCCTGTATATTGTGCTTAAGAGAACACCTTACTAGTGGTAAAATCGATTTATGTATCCAATTTATACAAATGACTTTTGAAATATGCTTAGACATGGCAGATCTTTAAGCTTTAAGCTGGAGGCCTTGGATGTCTGCTTCTTTTGGACTTGTGTCATAAGCTGTTTTTTTAATGCGTGTTGGTAAAGGATCTCCAAACAGTGGAACTGGTTCTGCAAGTCATCCTCTTGTGAAGCAAATGTGAAAGTTTGGCATACCTGATGTTTTGGCTGTGGGTCGCACCAGCAGGTAACTCAGAGGAGAGGTGGAGTTACAGTCCTCACCTGCCCAGCCCAGGTCACACACACACCTGAGCTCATTACTGCACACCTACAGCACAAACACACACATAGATAAACCATTTATATACCCGAGTCAAAACACAGCAGCAATTAACTAAATCTTTCACTACAATAAAAGAAGATGCAGGGACTTGAATTGTTTATTTACATATCAGGGGTATTAAACAAATATTTGATATTAACCAAATATAAATATAGCACTTGGAAGAGTATGGCCCAAAGTATGATTTATGTTATTTAAAAGTTAGTTTATTTATTACATTTTGACAATTTATTATTGTCTTTTTATTATTATTTATACATTCATAAACCATATTGAAAATTAAAATTAGTGCTGTCAATCCATTAAAAATTCATGATTAACCACATCTAACAAAACATGTAAATAATAAATATATTTTCACAATAAATCTTATTTTCCAAATTAATGTAGAAATAATATAAAGATGGTATATTTTAAATATTTGTTTAATGGCATCTTTATACTATACTCTGTACTTTTTATTAAGTATTATGAATGAAGGCCAGTATCAACAATACCAATACTGATACTGATGCCTCTGGATTTAAAAATATATATAAATACAGCTACTTGTAAAATTTGTGCTATTAGCCCTAAACTATTACAGATCATAAAAAATTCTTGTAACTTTCAATTTAAGTGAACTTAAAACAATCTTCACATAAACCCATTACCCTACAATGTCACATTTAGCTGTGCCTTTTATATAGTATGTTGTATACAGTGTGTACAGTAACGTGATGTTTCTTTTTCTATCAATATGAAGTTTCTCTGTTTGACTGAGAGCTGTCAGGTCATTTTCCCCCCACTTAGTTTTATTTGGCACATTCATTTTTACAATACATAAGAAAATACTATTTCACATCATAAAGCAGTTACAATTTTCTTCTAAATTTACTCATGGCATTTGGCACATGTGCGTATGCACATTTTTTTAGCTGAAAGTGGATCAGTGGGTGACACAACTGTCACAATTCACACCACACACAATCTCTCACCCCATGTCCGGAGCAGATCACCCTTTCGTTGGTGCCGGGGCACGTGCTGAAGTTGAATTCCTGCACTGGGAGGCATTTGTGATTAAAGCAGATGCGATCCGTCCCACACGCCGTTCCATCCTCTACGTATCCCAAATCAGTGTCGACGTCAATCAGCACATGCCCTCCACTAAAACATTCAAACTCACTTTAGGAAAATCAGTCACATAGAAAGCTAAAGTGAGTGTGTGTTTGTGTGTGTACCTGCAGTCCAGTGAGGCGCTGTGTTGGGCCACAGAGAAAGATGTCAATCCTCCCTGTAACTCTCCTAGTCTGGGTGCAGGAGAAATGTTGGAGCACAGCAGGTATCCACAGTGTACATCCCTAAATACACACACATGCACACGTTTTAATCTAGATAGAGCACATCAAACTAAGGTAATTCCATAATAAACTAGAAAAAAATTGGAAAAGCATAATTTGCAAGCCTGGAAAAGTTCATATTCATTCATAGGAATTTCTATTATGTATTAATACACATACACATACACTTTTTGTGGTATAGAAAGCCTGTTATTTAGTTTCCCATCAGTGTGGTATGACTGTCAAACTCACTGTTTTTTGCACTGAATCCAGGTGTCTCTATCTCGTCCACAGTTGCCCTTCTCTGTACCCTCAATGTTGAGTTTCTCATAGCAAAACTTATCAGCCGATGTTGCTTCTTTAGAAACAGAAACATCACACTAATCATAATTACCTCAGAACCACTAACTAAAATCAATGTTTAAGTACTAAAATTAATAAAATAAATTAAAGCCAAATAGAATAGATATTTGATATATAAAAACTCACTTGGTCTTTCTCACATGTGTACCCATCCATCTTGTGCAGGTTTGGAGGACACTGTGAAGAATATATTTAGTTTTACACTTTAAAGCATGTTTAGAATGGCATACTATCTACTGTTTTTAAAATATGTAGTACATAGTATATATACCAGGTATAGCAGGATATGTGAATTTTATGTATGCATGGAATACCGGTATGACCTACTAGATTTGCAGAAATGTGCAATATACAGCAGAGCACACTAAATGAAACAGTGTATCCCATAATGCAAAGTGTTTGACATGAACCAGAAGCAATATCTTGATTACCAAATGACTGCCATGCCATTAAACAGATTAAAAAGATTAAGGTGCAAAAAATTATGATGAAAAATTAATTGTTCAGTTTTTTTTTTTTTCAGCAGTTTGGACTTCTGATGGCACCCATTCACTGCTGAGGATCCATTGGTGAGAAAGTAATGTGATGCTAAATTTCTCCAGATCTGTTCAGATGAAGGTCCACAGTTGCCCTTCTCTGTACCCTCAATGTTGAGTTTCTCATAGCAAAACTTATCAGCCGATGTTGCTTCTTTAGAAACAGAAACATCACACTAATCATAATTACCTCAGAACCACTAACTAAAATCAATGTTTAAGTACTAAAATTAATAAAATAAATTAAAGCCAAATAGAATAGAAGAATGAACACATTAAAATATTATTAAAAACAACTAATAAAAACTAACAAATTCAACTAAAAATGACAAAAGCACATAACAAAATTGCTAAAATTATAAAATTAAAATGAAATATAAAATTTTAAAAATAAAAACTAAACAAAATAATAATAAACAATGTAATGGCTTATAAATAATATTAAAACAACAGTCACTCACTCTCTCCCCAGAGGTATTTGCACTGTCTGTCCTTGGTTTTGCACCTGCCATTGAAACATCTTCCCTAAAATGTGTTGAATGAGTTGAAATGAAGACAAATAGGTTACAGTGACATATCGAAATAATATAAAATAATAAATAGCGAGGAGAGACTGAAGACAGAAGCCGAGGCAGCAGCCGCTGAGGCAGCAGCAGCAGTAAAGAAGAAATGAAGAGCTCCTGTGTGCTAGAGTTATTTATCAATACGAAACCCCCGCTCACATGGATGTGTTTTTCTAATATAATGCTGCTCATTTGCATCCAAATGTATTGAAGTGTATTTTTTTCCTCAGTATCTCTCATTGTTGATTCTATCCTGCCTCCTGACTTCTCTCTACCTCCCCCACTTTCTCTTTTCTTTTCTCTGCCTCCTACAACCTTCTTTAGGCCTCTGAGCCACTTTGACCTACTCTTTCTCTCACATCCATTGGCTTACCCGTCTCTCCTAACTATCTCTGGGTAATAATACAGGGTTTTTTATAGCTGCTGTGTCTTCTGACATCTTTGCTGAAGTAGATTGCCCTTTGGCAACACTGTGACAAAGGTTGATATGCATTGACAAATAAGGATAATTTTAACACTATATATATTCAGTATATAGCTTTTGGGTTCTATATATAGAGCTTTGGGTTCTTTCCAGATTTATTTTTATAATAAGCAAGATCTGTGGTAAATATAAATTGACAATACTTGGCTGTTTTGCTCTACAAAGTAAATTACACACACCCATACTGAAAACATGAATTTTTTAAGCAGTTATGTTTCTTTTTAAAAACATGTTTTTAGTAACTACATAAGACCGATTGGGGTGTGAGTGTGTGCAGTTTACCACACGCCTTATTTTATTCATGGATTGAAAAACTCCTTTATAAAAACCCATAGGAAAAATCTCATGGGAACCCAAGACGAATTAGTCTTCTGGATTTTGACATCATGGCTGCAGCACTCTATTCGCATACATTAACAGCTTTAGCCTATAGTACAACCTTTACCTGCATATATACACTCTACTCACATAAAGTGATATGTTATGTAGCATATATTAACCGCTTGATTCCTTATATTGTTGCAAAATGTAAACTATATTATTGCCCAGCTGTTATCTGCTAAATGCAACCAAAAGGTATAAAGATATTAAAGGAATGGCACAAAAAATGAAAATCTGCTGAAAATGTACTCACTCTCAGGTCATCCAGGATGTAGTAGTTTGTTTCTTCATCAGAACAGATTTGGAGAAATTTAGAATTGCATCACTTGCTCACCAATGGATCCTCTGCAGTGAATGGGTGCCGTCAGAAGGAGAATCCAAACAGCTGATAAAAGCATCACAATAATCTACAAGTAATCCATATCTTGTTAAGCGGAAAGCTGCTTGTTTGTAAGAAACAAATCCATCATTAAGGCGTGTTAACCATTGCATCTGGTCAACATAGGAGTTCATAATCCATAATAATGCTTCCATCAGTGAAAAAGTTTGTCCTCTGTTGTCATCTCACATCAAAATCCACCAACGTATTTGTACAAACTTTTTTGGACTGTTTTCACTTGTAAACGGTGCTTGAGCTTCCATATTTCTCTCCTGATTCAGATGAGACAACCTATTCCCTAAAGAAATAAATATTATGGCTAGAGGATTTGTATTTTAGTCAGAAGCAACAGTTAAAAATGTCTTGATGGATTTGTTTCTTACAAACAGCTTTTTGCTGCACGAGACATATATTGATGGACTGGAGTCATGTGGATTATTGTGATTTTGATCAGCTGTTTAGACTCATTCTGACGGCACCCATTCAACTGCAGAGGAACCATTTGTGAAGTGATGCTAAATTTCTCCAGATCTGTTCAGATGAAGAAACAAACTCATCTCCATTTTGGATGGTCTGAGATTTAGTACATTTTAAGCAAATTTTATTTTTTAAACTATTCCTTTGATATATTAATTCTACTGCTGTAGGATGTGTTGTGAGATGTACGTAACAGTGCCCTCACCTGGCTGGAGTTCCCAGTGCACATTTCCGGTATGTCACAATCACTGACAGCCTCACGACAAAGTACACCCATAAACTCCAGCTACAGAGACAGCACAATAATCATTAAAAATCACACACACACAAACAGAAGGCTACAGAGTTTTCTTGTACAACTCAGCGCCTACCTGGCAGTTCTTACAACAGAGACCATCACTGCATTTGGCTCCCTGAGTCAACATACATTTCTTGCAGCAGTCCTCTCCTTCTCTAGCACACTCCTGCAGAAAGACAAGAAAAAAAAAACAGATTACATAAGCAGTGTCAGATTAATGTGATCATGATGTTGATGTAAGATCACTCACGGCTGGGCTTCCACAGTCACACTCCTCTCCTGCCTCCACAAAACCATTTCCGCACTCTGGAGGATCCAAGAGCTACAAAACAGAAATGTTATTTCGCACATTTGTATTTGTTCATTTATTGCACTATTATTATTATTATACACAGATATTGTTTTCATATGCAATTAAAAAGCAAACAGTTTGGCACTATGTTTTTGTCATGATAATACAGCACAAATTTAATTTAAAAAGAGACAATGAGAGTGAATGAAAGGGCATCTTATGCTTATATCTTATATCAAAAAATACAGTAAAATAGTAATATTCTGAAATAGTATTACAATTTAAAGTAACTGTTTTCTCTTTAAATTTATCCTTTGTAATTTATTCCTGATGCAAAGATGAATTTTCAGCATCATTACTCCAGTCTTCAGTGTCACATGATCCTTCGGAAATCATTCTAATATGCTTATTTGTGCTCAAGAAACTTCTGATTATAATCAGTGTTGAAAACAGTTGTGCTGCTTAATATTTTTGTAACTTTTTCTTTGAATATAAAGTTAAAAACAGCATTTATTTAAAATAGAAATCTTTTGCATTTGAAATACAATTTCAATTATAAAAATGTTTTACTGTCACTTTTGATCAATTTAATGCATTCTTTCTGAATTAAAAATATACATTTCTTTGAAAAAAAAATCTTCCTGACCCTAAACTAATGATAAGCATTTCAATTTTGTGAAATCCTTGGCACATTTTCTGGAGTTCTGTGGGTGCAGATTCTGTGTGGGTTTGGTGACGTACTAAGCAAAGTGATTGCTATGAACACACAGACAGAACTGAAGTGGGTTTACCTTCGAAGGTTTGTTGAAGAGACACGCACCACCTCCACTGTTCAGGAAATCATGATACTCTTCCACATTACAGTCAGAAAATCTCTTGGGTAAGTAGAAGCTGTTAGAGAGAACCACAAGGCACTAGAGTCACACTGCCTAATTTTATTTACACCCCCTTTGATTCACACAACCACTGAGACAGGCTATAAAAAAAGTGTTTGTAATGCTAATCAAAGTCGCATAGAGCTTAAACTGAAAAGTAACAATTCTTACCTGTCACCACGTTTACATGCACATTGTTTTCTGATTAAGGCATTCTAGCCCTTATTTTGAAAACAATTCCAGAATGCTGCACATGTAATCATATTATAAATAAACTAAGATATGCAGATTCTTTCCCACTACTCCTATGTGGAAATACTGGAGGCACTTACCAACAGAGAATTTCTTTTCTTTGGCCATAAGTGTATGTAAATGAACAGGATATTCCAATTACAAATAAAAAGCATTTATCATTATTACGGGGAAATGCCAGCTGCCTTATTCAGATTGGTTTGTGACAATCAAGTTAAATCACATTTACATGACACATACTCTAAATAATCAGAATATGACCAAATTCCAAAACAAAATGTTCATGTAAATATGGTCACTGTTGAAAAGTTCTCATGGGGGCAAATTATTGCTAATAAATATGGGCTTGGGATAGAGAACAAGATTAATGTGAACTGGTCACGCTGAATGTAAACATCAGTCTGGTTAGATGGGGAAATGTTTAAGTGGCTACTGACTCGGTTTCATTCAGACCAGCAGAGGGCAAGACTCAGACACAAAGAACAATAAAACACAGCTTACGAACAAACACAAGGGCCAGAGCAACCAGATTTGTTAAAAATAGGTTGTAAGAATCAGTCATTTCCTTGTGTTTACAGGCAGATATTGACCTTTTCAACAAGGTGGACGTGTAGTGTATTGCATTATACTATATAAGTAACAGTTGCTAAATTAATTCACATCTACAATTACATTTATTCATTTAGCAGACGCTTTTATCCAAAGCGAATTACAAATGAAAAGCACAACAAGCAATTCATCATAGAGGCAAATAAACCCAAGAAGTGCTCCTAATACAAAGTTTCCGAAATTGAAGACATCTACACCCTAAAACAGGGATTCCCAAACCTTTTTGTCAGATGAACCCCTTTTGATCCAAAACATTCACTTGAAATACCGCCTGAGATTCTAATTTATTATCAATAATTTAACAACACATATGCATGTTCATGGTTCTCTGATGTTGGTTAAAGGTCACAGGATATGCAGGTAAACAAATGCCTTATTCTGCATGACCATATTTTAGTCATGCACTAAAATACGGTCATGCAAATATTATTTATTTATTTTACATCTTTTCTTATGAACACCCTAACCCTATAAACCTAGTTTGGGAAACCCTGGTCTGAAATACCCAACCACTCTTAAGTGAATCCTCTCTGATCCTGATGACACTTTCAAAGCTTTTATTTCCTCCTTCTTTTATCTATCCATTCACTACACCCTCCCTTAGATGCAAATCACAGTTTATCCACTTGAAAACACAGTGATGTGGCAGTACGCTCAAATCGTACAAGAACAATGAACGCTGCTCAGCCTGTATCGGCTGGGTCGCTGCCCTCAATATCCTGCAGAGGTCATTCCGAAGCAGTAAGCACTATTCCAATCTGTGACAATCTGCAACAATGCAGTTTCAAGAAGCCTTAACCGGAGGCTGAGAATCAATAAGTGCATTTCTCACATTATGCCGTGTGTGAGTGATTACTCTTCATTTACCAGACGCTGAGTGTGTTCCTGGATTATCAGGGCACCTTGTCTTACCTGCTTGAGCATGGGTAATTAATTTTAAAGTGTTGCAGACATTTTCACAGGATTGTTAACAGCAGGGAGACACACTTAAAGGGGGAAAACAGAGAACACAAAACATCCTGCCACATTAACACTGGAGTTAGTGGATCAGATCGGACATGCAGGCTGCACGAAAAAGAAACTTCTCAAAACATCCATCAATGGAGAGACAGATCGACATGAGCGTGTCTGTCTGAAAGGCCATTGATACTAATGTTAATAACATGAGCCGTGAGAGTGTGCTGTGTGCATTTCAGGAAATGAAGGTTATCTATATATATCAAAAACAACCCAACTACATCATATGTGCATGTTGAAATCAGAGGACTTTCTCATACTCAGAAGTTTGGACTTTTTGTCCCAATAGTCCCATATTCTCCTGATAGTGAGAAAGTGCTTAGCTTGGTGTGGTGATTACAACACTTTTTCTCTAAGGTTTTGATCTTCTACACATGATATTTCAGTTTAGAGGTCCAAAGGAGGAGTTACTGACTGCGTTCAGAAACATGATTTGTGAAGAGAAGAAGTCTTATTTGAGAAGCTAAGCAAACAGCAAGACGGAGGGTGAACACACACTGAGAGTGCTGGTGTGAATTTCAGCTAACGTCCTGTCAGTAAGCCATTAAACATCAGATGAGATGTCAGTCACTTTTGTCACTGAAATTCTGATTATCTGATTGTATTATAAAAGCAGACTTTTGTGTTTAGAGGTAGGCTGTGTGTGTGTCACACAGGCTTTATGACATTTGGCATTAGCATGAAATCATGATCGTTCTGTTCTTTTGAGTGTGAATGACCGCAGACACTTTTAAACACTTTAAAGGGGTCATATCACGGAAAATCGAATTTTCCTTTTATAAAAAGTTACATACTGCAAGTTTTGGAACTCAAAGCTTCCTCCACATTCCAAAAAGAATGTTCTTTAAAAGAAACTAAAAACAGCTAGTTATGCAATCTTCATAGTTATGACCACACAAGGACGCCAACTTGATTTCGGTGTGGATTGTTTTTTGCAGAAAGGCTTTTTATTTAATTATGGGCCAGTTCAGACAATATTGGACCTGACAGCAAACCCAAAAAAGCCTGTTTAATTCCAAGAGGTGAAAAATACTGAAATCTTAGCTAATATGATCAGGCTGAAATGCATATGACCCCTTTAAACTGAGAGGAACCCAATAATCCTCTCTTAACTAAACGTGTCCCACAATGAGCTATCAGCCGAATTAAAAACCAGTAAAAAAGAGAGCACACAGGAAACTGCAGAATGTTCCAACACAATGCAGCTTCTGCTATATCGCTCTCTTGACTGAATGCTATTAGATGGAGTGAGGGGCTGAAGTGACTCAGCAGCTGACTGGTCGACAGGACACGAGCGAGTAGCATGACACAGCCAAGCGCCTGCTCACCTGCTGTCCCATTCGGGATCGAGGGGAAACGCAAAAGGTATTAAAACACACGGATAAAGACAAACCAACACACACAGACGCACACTGTGACATGAGCAAACACCTATCGCATCACACGTATCTGATCACTTCACATCACAGCATTTCTCGAACGACCACTGTGAACATTTCTGAATGTTTTAAGCATATATACTAATTATGAGTTGTGGTTTGCTATTCTTATAAGACAATTTTTCACTTTGACACTGACAAACACTGTTTATGAATATTAGACTGCTAAAAAAAAAGAGCCAGTGCAAATTTGAAACATGAACAGTGAAATGTCAAAATCCACATGTGAAATGTCAACAGTGGAGAGCCAAACAGAGAAAATTGGACTAAAATGATCAATAACACTTTCTCATGACATTTTGAGGATATCATGCTCTAATTTTACACAGGAGTTCATATGTCAATCTTACAAAAATGTTCTATTTCACCCCAATATCAAAATAAAAATACAAATGTTTGGCATAAAGAAAACAGAATTTTTTATGATTATAAAGTTTTATTTGTGCAGTGAATTTTTTTATGATAATTATGAACATTTACATTAATCTGAATGTAACCTGGAGTTTTTGTGTAATGTTCAATTGTGATTCTTATTACTGTAATACAATAAAAATGTATTTAAGGCAGCACAAATTATGTATGACAAAGTAAATAAATAATAATTATATAAAAATAATTTCATAAATATTTAATATTTTAATAAATGTTTATTTTAATAATTATATAATTATATCATAATTATTAAATAAGAACGAGGTTATTTTTGGCACATTACAGTAATAAGAATTGATTTTAGGGTGAAATGTGCATATTTTGTGCAAGGTTTTGTGAGATTCACCCTCACAGATTGTAATGCTAATTTGCCCACCCATCAACAGTCTGTGAGGTTCCCGTGAAAATGAAAACAGGACACAGAAATGAGTAAGCACTGAGACTTTTTTGGCTGAGAAGCCAAATTATTTACTGCCACCTAGTGGAATTCATGAAAATTAGTGTCTCAAAGCTTCTCACTGGCTGCGTTAACAACATCTGACGTGACAGAAACTGTTATGGATCAGTGAGTGGCACAAATTTCAAACACTGTTACTTTGACTGCATTTAATTTAAAGTTATTTAAGCAACAAAACACAGGAACATAGACTCAGCACAAAGCATGACAGGCTGTTTTAGTAAGACTAATATGCATTTCCAAAAGGGTCTCAAAACTTAAGTGAGTTATGTGTGTGTGTTAGGAAATCTGGGAAATCTGCTTTATTAGAAACTTACCCAACATCATCCATTATGCAGCCAGACCATTTATCTTCACACTTGCACTCCCCTGTGAGGGAAAGACGGATTACAGTGGCATACTATGAGAGTCTGTATGTGTGAGTACTGCTGTGTTTACTGCCAAAGCACGCACATGAAAAATATAAAAGTGAGAATAGGAAACGAGAACACTCACCGTTTAAAATGCGTTTCTTATCAGAAAAGATGCCGATATTTTGTCCCAGTGACTGGGCGAGAGTTATGGCCATTTCTTCAGTCTTTCCATACTAACAAATTTGAGAAAAACAAACAAATAATAGCCTTTGAGACTTGACATACAAATTCATATTCATTAGTTAAAAGAGTTGCATAACCATAACCACTAACCTCATTGACTCCGCCTCCTTTAGTGAGTGAGCAGACTCCGCCTATGTATGAGGCTCCTCCCCAGTTACTATGAAAACGGTTGCCCCTGGATGCAGAGAGAAAACTTATTAGAAATGCTGTTTCACTTGATCAAAAAACTAATGTTTTCTGTATGTGTGTTTTCTTGATAACTCACGAGAAAAGGTGAACGGAGTCACACTTTTCTTTAATAAAGTCTCTTCGGTACTTCATAAACTCTCGTAATGTCACCATAGGATCGTCGTTGATGTTAAACCTGTTGTCCGCAGCCCACGTTTCCATCGCAACCAAAACAATTCTAGTGTTGATTTGCTCTTTGAAGTACTGCAGATACAAACAAAAATTATTTTATTAACAACAGGTAAATAAAGAATTGCATCTCTTGCATGTAAATCTGAATCCACAAGACACACGTGACGACTGCAGAATGATGGATCTTTTTTGTTTTTCATTCTAGAGCTCAGTTTGACATATTGAACAACAGGCTAAAGCAGAGAAATGCCAACTGTCTCTCACAGAGAGAGAAATGGAGGGATGTTTATGTGACTGTCAAGGGCACAGAGTCTGACAAACAAGCAAATAAAGCAGCTCATGATGTGACTGTCAGACTGTACAAGGCCTATTTGTCTTACATGAGGATCAGCCTTCTGTTTAATGGCTATACAAATTATGTATTATTAAAATTATTCAAAGAAGACTATGAAATGTACATTACTAGCAACTTACCAGATCAGCCATATTCACAACAGATTTAGCGTAGTTATTTGTCTGTCCAACGGAAAGGCGATGTTTCTTGTACTGAGAAAAATTAATGCGAATACATAATAAAATGAATGCATTACAGGCATAAGAAAAAAACCCAATAATAAATTGGTTAATAATATGTTAGTTAATTATGTGAATAATGGACTGTTACTCATCTTACCATCAAATGATCATTTATGACCATCAGCTCTATAAATTTGGTCTCATCTGCAACACTCCGTGGATTTCGTGCTATCTGTGTGTGGAATTTGACAGTGCATAATATTATATCATCACCCTGCCGCATGAAAAACATGCTTACTGCAGAGAAACAGCTGATCTATACATTAGTGCTATAAAGAGTTCACAGCCCTGCTGTAAATATTTCATGAGTGTAGGAGAGATGGGGAGGAAAAGAAAGACAGAAAGAGAGCAGCAATGAAATCACATCAGACAGTCAAAGCTTAACAGATACACACACCCACAAACACAAACCATGAGCCATGAGTGTTGTGAGACAGTATACACACCTGTCTCTTTTTCCTTCTGTGGGCGGCACTGGACAGTGGAGTGTTCTGGAACGGTGACTCTGCCAGGTGAACTTAAACAAATATTAACTATCAGTATGGACAGTTGAGCATGAAGTGCATGCACACAGATCTAACTCATTCAGCTTTATTAATTATCCCCCATGGGCTCTAATTTATAGTGTACTCATGCTATATACATAATACTTTAAATCTGAACATGAGAATGGTTCATACCTGCAGAAATGAAGTCCTCTGGGGGGTCCAAACCAGGAGACTGATAAATCATGTGCACGTGAACCTCCTCCTACAGGGAAAGAATGCGAGGAAATGATATGATTCATAAGTGTCAAACACTCCTACATAACACTTAGTGAGTTCGATGCGACACATTGTTCAGTTTGTATAAGAAAGAGACATCTCTGTCAGGAGTTTCTAAATGGTCTTAGTTTAACAGTAAGTTTCAAAGGACCCTTTTGGTGATATCGGTCATTTTTTCACAGAATCGGTGATCTATAATAAAGCCAGTCACATTTTTATTGAGCCAATTTGTTGTCTAAAAGTTCTAAATGTATTAATTACAATATTTGTAGGCCTGAACAACTGTTTCATATTTTTTACAGTTTGTTACAGTATTGTTGTTTGCATTAATTTTACCCAAAATATATTTTTTAAAATGTTTATACAGAATTTGACTTAAAAAAAAAATATGACTACCCTATTCACAAGTGTGATATCTAGCTTATTGTGAAGAAATAGTTGACAATTTAGAAAAAGATAAGATGGATAAGTGGAAACTGAACGTTTTGAAATATGCAACCACGTGATTTGCTTGAGACGAAGCTCCACACAGACTGTGTCGTTGAAAAGGCCACGGTATGATTCGCACGCTGTTAATTGGAATAATTATCCTGGCTTTGTGTTTATTTACGTTATACTAAGTGAGCGCGCATGTGACGTCACGCCGCACCCTCAGTGAGGTTGCGCGCGCTCCTGAAGAGTCGCAAACACAAAACTACACGACGAAACCGGACAGAAAATCACCGAATCTGTGAGAAAATGACCGTTATATCACCAAAAGAGTGACAGTCCTTTGAAGCTTACTGTTAATCAGGTATGTGCGCGATATATTGGTCCTGACAGCGTCACTCGGATGAAACCAAAGCGCAACAGGTTGTATCATAATGTTAGCCGTTAGCTGAGATTAGCTTGTTGGCGCTCGAATATACTCTTGAATAAAACATTACTAAACCACATCTGGAATTAAAACAAACCGTAAATCAAAACACCAATTACAAGCTCGTGAAAACACAACAAATGTAACTTTATGTCGCTTCTGATAGAGACGGCAAGAAACTCCTGACAGAGATGCGATTGTCTGACATCTATTGTTGTAATGAGAGACGTTACGCAGAGACGTACATTTATTACCCTCCATATAAACAGTGCACATGCCTATTGTACATATACACAGAGACATTTATTGTAGTCTACATACACTTACAATTAGATACATTAATGCTTAATACACACACTTATACTTAACACGACACATATTTAAGCAATGCATCAGCACTTAACGGGGTTTTGACTCATCTTTACTGTATGTCTGTGAAGGAGTGGACATTACAGTAAGACTTAAGTACACTTTCTATGTTTCCATACATACATACAGCAAACTAAATCAAATGACTCAAAATATGTCACTTTTTCTCTCTTCATTTGTGACTCTGGACCACAAAACATCTCTAGCACTCTCTATTCTAATTCTATTCTTAAAAAAAAACTTTTATTCTTGCACTCTATTCATTTAATAACTGCTTGTTTTTCTTTAAAAAAAAAAACTTACACTAGCTTCTCTATTCTTTTTGTATTCTATCAATTTGTTTTCTTTTATTTATTATACGATTAACAAAAAGCAAAAAAAAAAAAATCCTCCAACACTAGCTTGCTCTATTCGTTTTCTATTCTATCTGTTTTTTTAATTTATTATACAATATTAATATTTATCCATCTTTATCTCTTAACTCTAGCACTCTCTATTCTAATTCTATTCTTAAAAAAAAAAACTTTTATTCTTGCACTCCATTTAATAACTGCTTGTTTTTCTTTAAAAAAAAAACACACACTAGCTTCTCTATTCTTTTTGTATTCTATCTGTTTTCTTTTATTTATTATACGATTAACAACAAGCAAAAAAAAAAAAAAAATCCTCCAACACTAGCTTGCTCTATTCTTTTTCTATTCTCTGTTTTTTAAATTTATTATACGATTAAAAAAAAAAACCTTGCTACGTGTATTGAGTTAGGCTAACTGAGACTTGTCATAGCACTTGCATATTTCTCTTTTGTTGATTTTGATTGCTTCCATTGTCCTCATTTGTAAGTCACTTTGGATAAAAGCGTCTGCTAAATGACTAAATGTAAATGTAAAACCCAATAGCCAACAATACATTGTATGGGTCTCTTATGTTTCTTTTATGCCAAAAATCATTAGGATATTAAGTAAAGATCATGTTTCATGAAGATTTTTTGTAAATTTCCTACCGTAAATATATTAAAACTTAATATTTGATTAGTGATATGCATTGCTCAGGACTTCATTTGGACAATTTTAAAGGCAATTTTCTCCATATTTAGATTTTTTTTGCACCCTCAGATTCCAGATATTCAAATACGTGCATCTCGGCCAAATATTGTCCTATCCTAACAAACCATACCTCAATGGAAAGCTTATTTATTCAATTTTCAGATGATGTATAAATCTAAATTTTGAAAAATTTACCCTTATGACTGGTTTTGTGGCCCAGGGTCACATTTTACTCCTTGTCTAAAAATGTAATTTTGTGTCCCTTTCCCCACAAGGTTCCAGTTTTTCTAGCCTCCAGCCATGTCTTGTCGTGACATTCACGCCACCAATGCTTTCGCCTTCATCATCGCGATGCTGTCGGTGGCCGGTCTGACCGTCGCCACGCTTATTCCCCAGTGGAGAACCACCCGCCTGCTCACCTTCAACCGCAATGCCAAAAACGTGACCGTGTACGACGGCCTGTGGACCAAGTGTGTGCTGCGTGATGGTTCTTCGGGTTGCTATTACTTTGATTCAGACTGGTACGCAAAAGTAGACCAGCTGGACCTCAGACTGCTGCAGTTCTGTTTACCTGCTGGTAGGTGCTCATGATGGGTTCCTTGACCTTATTTCTCAGTTTATAAGGCCCTATGAAAGCTGTATTCTTTTTCCCAAATGTCTTTTCCTCCCAAATTCCATGTTTTCCATTTTAATTGTGTTTTAATGGCTTAATTTTAAAGAGTCCATATGATGCTTTTTAATGTTTTTTTTTGTTTATTGTGTAATGTATCTGTTTATGTATAAAATCTGCAACGTTACAAAGCTCAAAGTCTTCCACAAAGGGCTTTATTCTAGCTAACAGAGAACACTGTTCCAGACCTGCCTAAAACGCATTGATTAAAGTCCAGATATTACTTCCGCAAACATCTACATCACAGTTTGAAACATTTGCATAATGCCTGCCCAAAGGCATATTGCAAAGAAAGAGGGTGAGGTGAATTGTAGTGTTGTCACTATGTCATGGAGATGTTGTGCGTTTCAATTATTCTCTAGACTTCATTTCGCTAGCAAATAACGAGCTGTAGACACTGATGACTTGCCTAGGTAAATGAAACGCTACATGACATTTTGTTTACAAGCTGTTTTAATGATGTCTTTCTGCGGTTGAAACATTAGTTGAGCGATTATGTGAGGGGTTGTTCATTCATGTATATTTCGCATTAAAACTAGTAATAAAGAGGAAGGCGTGATCACGCTCACTCGCGGTCCGCACTGCCGTTAGAACTGAGGCATTAAGGTCATTGCACACAGAGTCAGAAATTCTTATCCGAAATTTTCGCACGTTAAAAAATAAATACGACCTCACCTTGTGTCAATCACGTTTACACACTGCCTCCAAAACTTTCGTCCATCATATGTATTTTCACATCCGTAACAATAATTTTGTTAAGAAAGGATGACGAATACGAAAAAACGCATACAAAAATTTCGGACTCAGTGTGCAAAGACCTTAAGTATTGGCTATGGCGATATGTCTCACCACATCGGCATTTATTGTCTGAATTTCCTGAAAAAATGGAACGATTTGTTTGATTTTTGAAAATTTTCGGTACGAATACGTGTACCGTTACACCCCTTGTGCGTTTCAATTAGAGCCCGACTGATATATCGTTTTGCCGATATTATCGGCCGATATGAGCCAGTCGCCGATATATTGGTATTGGCGAATATGCTGCCGATATGAACATTTTTTTTACAGAACATATAGTGCAGATAAAATGCTTGAAATAGTGTAATTACTTAGTTTGTCCAGCAGAGCGCGCTCCATTGTTTGCTACTGGCGACCTGGATGAAACGCTTTAAAGCTTAAGTCTATGGAAAACCATTGAAACTTTGAACGGCCATATCTCCGTAACGGCACGGCGAATCCGCACCAAATTCGGGGGATCTCTTCAGCTCAAGGAACCCTCTCGAATGCGAATCGAGTGTATGTCTCGAGGCCCTCTTTCGAATGAGACCACCCCCGCGTGGATAGCCCCCGGGGTTCGGGAGTTACGGCTGGTTAAATTCGCGGTCCGGCGCCGACCGATCTAGCGATCCCAGCGGGCTACCGACGCGCGGAGGGTGGCGTTCGAGAGGGTGGAGTTTGGTGAATTGGTGGAGAATTTGGTGGAGATCCGCCGGCACGTTCGCGAGATAGTGACACCAGTCAACACATTCCCTTCAGTAAGGAGGTCTCTTGTTCAGGCAGCAGCATTCAAGCGTTCTTATTCGACCGCAAGTGCCCTGCGAAGTGGACTTCACATGAAATTCCGCCATGATTCCAGTTCCAAGGGAACGTACACGTTACATTCAAAGGGCATTAAAGTGCGCGAGACGTGAATTTATATTGTATTTATTTACAGAGGTAGGGGAAAGCGGGGCACAAAGTAACACTTTTTGACTTTCTCAGTTTGTGTAAATCCACATGGGGTTCAGAATATATAT